TCCTCCATCCATCCTTCATCCCGCATTCTTCATCCATCCTCCCTCCCTCCCTCCCTCCATCCCCTATCCATCATCCATTTTCCATCCATCCATCCATCCCTTCATCCATCCATCCTCCCTCCCTCCCTCCATCCCCTATCCATCATCCATTTTCCATCCATCCATCCATCCCTTCATCCATCCATCCTCCCTCCCTCCATCCATCCCCTATCCATCCATCTATCTTCCATCCATCCCTCCTCCCACCCTCCCTCCATTCTCCATCCATCCATTCATCTTCCCTCCCTCCATTCTCCATCCATCCATCCACCCATCCATTCATCCATCCCTCCATCCTCCATCCTCTATCCATTCATCCATCCATCCATTCATCCATTTATCTTCCATCCCTCCATCCCTTGATCCTTCATTCCTCCATCCTCCCTACATCCATCTATCCATCCATCTATTAATCCTCCATCCAGCCCTCCATCCTCCATTCTCCATCCTGCATTCACCCTCCATCATTCTTATCTCCCTCCCTCCCTCCCTCCTTCCCTGTGTCCACTCCCATCCTTCCCTGTCTGTCCCATGAAACTTGGGTGGAATTGTGCTGAGGGGACACTGCCCACCAGGTACTCGGACCCCTACCTTCACAGTGCTTGAATTCTGGGGTTAAATGTCCATTTTAGAGCAAAGAGACAAACCTTACAGATAACTCCAAGGAGTGGATGGGAAATGACCCTGGGGGCCTTCAGATAGTTCTGGGGCATGGTCCTTGCTCTGCCCGGAGAGGCCAGAGACCCCACATGTGCTCTGGGCCTTGTGCTTTGGTTTCCTTGGCACTCAGACAGACGTGGGACTGCTCTGAGGCAAAGGGCCTGAGGCGCGGGTCAGTGTGGAACAAGTGTGGGGAACTCAGGCACACCAGCCATGCCTCAGTTTACCCTGAGCCCCTGTCATCATCACATAGTGCTGTCAGATGTGAGGTCTTTGCTAAGACAGGGCCTGCCTCAATTTACTCCATGCTCTTCCTGTCAACATGTTGCATGCTCTGGTGTCAGCACCTGTTTTGCAGGAGCCTCTTCCCTCCCAATGTCCCCAGGAGGTGTCTCGGCCACCACCAGCAGTGGCCCGAAGCCCCAGCATGCTGCCCTCCAGATTCTGGCCGGCATTTGCCCAGTGAGTGACCACACCTCTGCAGCCTCAGTGCTGGGCAGGTTCCCGGGCCTGTCTGGGATCTCGGCCTGTCCTGGTGCCCCTGCCAACAGCACCTCCCCGGCCTCTCTCCCCGCTCTAGAAACCAGCCGCCCCTCTCCTGGAAGCAGAGTGAGGAAGGATGCCGAGCGTTTAGCCCCGAGGTCTCTCTGCAGCCAGCCTGGCCCCGGTTTCTAAAAATGTGCTGGGTTATATAACCCAGGGAAGGGTGGAAAAATACCAGCTGGTGTGGTGGGGGCGCGCCTGCAGCTGATTCACTGAGCCGGTGCGGAATTCAGATGCGTCTTGCCTAGCCACATAAAGCCCATTCATTCCCGGGGTGCACCTCATTGGCGGAGGGCGGGAGTGACGGGCTGTCTCTCCCCCTGAGCTGCTGGGCCCTCCTCCCCACTCCAGCCAGCCTGCCGGTGGCGGCCCCGTCAGCAACACTCAGGCAGGCAGCCCTGGCATGTGCCAGCCGGGATGCACACGCAGGTGCAGGCATCTGGGTGCACGGGTCACCTTCAGGGCAGAAGTGGCCGTCACAGTGCGAAACAGACAAGGGCTGATGAGGCAGCTTAGAGGCAGCACCCAGAGCCCAAACTGTCATCCACCCAGCCTCCCCTCAGGCAGGCGCATGGGGATGTTGTGGCACTGTGGCCTCACAGGCCCGGCCATGGATGCTGTGGGTCATGGTCTCACGTGGCCACACTGTGTGTGCTTGTGGGTCATGGTCTCATGTGGTCAGGCCATGGATGCTGTGGGTCATGGTCTCATGTGGCTGGACTGTGTGTGCTGTGGGTCATGGTCTCATGTGGCCAGACTGTGCGTGCTTGTGGGTCATGGTCTCACGTGGCCAGACTGTGCGTGCTTGTGGGTCATGGTCTCACGTGGCCAGACTGTGTGTGCTGTGGGTCATGGTCTCATGTGGCCAGGCCATGGATGCTGTGGTCATGGTCTCATGTGGCCAGACTGTGTATGCTGTGGGTCATGGTCTCATGTGGCCAGGCGATGGATGCTGTGGGTCATGGTTTCGTGCCCAGGCAGTGGATGCTGTGGGTCCTGGTCTCCTGAGGCAGGGCCATAGCCTGGTTCACAAGGAAGCGTGGGGGATGCAGCCTGTGCCTCTCCTCCCCCCCGGCAAGTCTGCTGACTGGGGAGGGGACAGTGCTTTCCCATGGGAGCAGGAAGAGCATGGGGCTGTGTCATGGGTCAGACTTGTTGCTAGAGGTGGGCAGCCAGCCCCCATCCGACCTGAGCCTGCTCTGGTCCTGGGTGCTGGGCACAGCTGAGGTGGCCCCTCGCCTGGGGTCATTGCTCTAGTTGTGTCCAGTCTCCTAACTCCCGTGTCCACTGCGTGTCCTGTCTCAGGGGCTCCCATGGACCTGGCCTCCCCACATCCCCCCTAGAGCGCTGTGCCGCCTCTCCACCTCCTGCTAGACTCTCCCCGCGAGCCTGTCCCATCTCCACGGACACCACAGCTCTGGCGGTGGTGGTGATCAGTGGCCACTCTGCTCCCCCCAGGGACCTTCCTGCTCTCTCCATTGCTGGTTCTATTTTCGGTTCGTAGAGATTTCCTGCACGTTGATGTGTGTTCCCCCATGTCTCAGGTGGCAGAGGGACATGGGTGAGGCTGAGCGCGAAGGATGATCTTCACGGAGAGGCGCTGAGCCAGCTGCAGACCACGGGGATCCACGGGATCTTCTGGCTCCCGGGCCAGATGGGCACCAGAGATCAGCTGCTGGGCATTTCCGCCCAGGGAACGTCAGAAGGTCATGCCCTGGGCACATACAACCCAGGATGGTGGCACAGGCACTGCCCATTCTCTTGGCAGCACCACCAACAGGTAACCCCTGGGCCCCCATGTCCCGGGCCAGTCTCCTTCCAGGAAACACAAAGCAGGCTGGTTTCATCAGCCGTGACCAAGTGCTGAAGCTGCCTGTGCTGTCCTGTCCCCATCCAGCCCCTGGCCCCCAACCCCCGCTCACGCCCCAGCACCTGGTCCTGAGAGGCCCCAGGTCTGTGGAGCAGTTCTGAGTCTTGGAGAGGAAACCCCACGGGGTGGGCCAGAGTCTGAGTCAGGGACGGGTCAGCTCAGGTCAAGCTCAGGTCCTGCCGGTGGGCGGCCCTGCTGGCGCCTTGGCCACTGCTGCCCTCTAGTGGCTCCAGGCCAAAAGCACAGTTGTATTCATCTACCGCTCCCTGTCCCTCCCCTCCCTCCTCCCTTTCACTCCCCTCTCCTCCTCGTCCCCTCTTCTCATTCTCTCCTTCCTCCCTCCCCTCTTCCCTCCCTTAAGGTCTAGGCAAAGCACCCTCCTCAGAACGAAACTCTTTGACTTGGAACTTGGGTGTTTTCAGCACTTTCCGTCAGGAAAGCCCCTCCCCACCTCTGTGAGCCCTGCTGTTTCCCTGTGGTTTCCCCTGCCCAGGGCCCATGCCCAGCAGTGCTGGGGGCTTCGGGGCTGTGGCCGGACGCTGGGTGGGGGCTCCAGGGGTCCTAGCATGAAAACAGTGGGAATCAGTGCCCACATGCGTTTGAGCTTCACAGAGAGACCCCGCAGCCGTCAGCTCCCCTCTGCGGGGCGCTCCTGACCCCAGTGCCAGCTGCCCCGTGCAGAGCCAGGGCTGTGTTGGAGAGGCCCCATGTGGGCACAGGAGACGCTATTCCGTCGCATCTCAGCTCGGGAGGAGTAAGTGTGTGCCCAGTGGCCCCTTCCAGGGGACACAGAGGTACCAGCGTCCAGTGTGGCTGTAAGACAAGGTCTCAGCGCCCCCTGGTGGCTGGAGCTGCAGCAGAGCATACAGATTCCTGGGTCCAGAGATGGATTGGGGCAGGGACAGGGTTAGGATCATGCGAGGCCTGTCCTAGCTGTAGCCAGGAGCTTCCTGGGGTGTGTGACGACCCCAGGGATGTGGCCTGGTGTCTGTCAGTAGGAGATGACCTGGCTGGGTCCCCACAGGACATCTAGCTCCTGCAAGGGCCAGGATGGAACTGAGGAGGACCACATCCCGGGCCTGTGAAGGGCAGGGTGCAAGCCCCGCCCCGATCCCCGCCCCTCTAACTGGAATCCCGCCCCTCTAGCCGCAAGCCCCTCCCCCCTAACCACACGCCCCCTCCCAGAGCCCTGTCTCTAACCACAAGCCCCTCCCAGAGCCCTGTCCCTCTAACCACAAGCCCTTCCCAGAGCCCCGCCCCTTTGACCACAAGCCCCGCCCCTAACCGCGGCCAGCCTGATCCAGGGGCTGGAATGAGTTTCCGCCCCCGCCCCCCACGCCGCCACTGCGCCTCCTTTCTCTCTCTCTCTCTCTCTCTCTCACACACACACACACACACACACAGGCTGCTGCTGTCAGCGCAGGGAGTCCCGGGGCCATACGTGCTCGGCCGGACCCTGCAGAGACGCCCGTCATGCTGTGCCACACTCAGACCCACAGTGCTCTCCTGACATCACATGTGCGCTGGGGTGTGGGCCTGCGGCTGGCCCCTGGGTAGACTGGGGCCCCCTCTCCCGCACACCTGCAGCTCCTGTTTGCTCGGAGATGAAAGGCTTCGCCTCCACTTCCTGCAGCGCTGCCTGCTCACGAAAGGTCTTTTCGTGGGGCCTTTTCGCGCTGTGCAGCAGCCCCCGCCTAGGGGCTCTCGTCCTGCTTTCCTTCTACCCACTGGAGATGCCCCGCTCCTCCCCGTGCTCATGAGCCTCTCACTGCCGTGGTGTTTATTGGGGGGGGGTCCCTCCCACCCCCACCACCTCCTCCTGTGTGGCCGTGGGGCAGTGCGGGCCCCACACTGGCCACACGCGGCGCCGGTTTCTGCAGCTGCAACATGGGGTGGCGGGAGCCCGGCCCGGCCGTGTTTCTTGTCTTCCCGCGTGCTCATGGCAAGTGTCCTGGCCCTCGGTTTGTCCCCGCTCAGGAGATGAGGCGCTCCATGCCCGGGTTCATGAAGGAGAAGTTCCGGAACATGTTCTGGTCCATGCTGTTGATGAGCGCGCGGTCGGCCACCGACAGTCGCGGCTTCTCGCTTAGGAACTCCTTGTCGAAGTTGCTGCAGTCACTCGGGGATTTCTGGGCCCGCAGAGGGGAGAGGGAGTCAGCCCCACACATGTGTCTGCACGTGTGTGCACGTGTGAGCGCACACGGGTGGGCATGTCTGTGTGTGCATACCTGGCCATGTGTGCAGCATGTCTGTGAGCGCATGCCTGTACACAGTCGGGGCCGTGCATTCTTGTATACGTGTGCTTCTGTGTGCACAGATCTGGGAATATGCTTGTGTTTGTGCACATGGCTGTGCACGTGTGCGCCTGCGCCTGCAGGTGTGTCTGCGTGTGCATGTGTGCCTGCATGTGTCTGGCCCAGTAGGACCCTCACGAGTCCCTTTTCTGCTGTTATACCGGCTGTGGTGATAGGTGCCCTGGGCAGTGCGTCGCCAGCACGGGGGACATCAGTGATGCCCTGGGGAGACCCCCCCGCATCCGGACCTGACCGTGGCCCCCCCACGCTGTGCTCCCAGCCGCGCCTCACCACTTTGGGCCTGAAGGGGGGGTTGATCGCTTTCCTCTCCAGCTCCTCCCAGTTGATCTCCCGGAAGAGTGGGTGCTGGCGGATGTCCCCCCGCACGCCCAGCCTCCGCTCAGGCTCTCTCACGAACAGCTGCAAACAGAGGCAGGGGTAAGATGCTGGGCGCCTGTGTGCCCAGCCTCCTCTCTGGCCTCGTGACCCCCTCTGGGGTGTCTGGCATGGCCACACTGCCTGGTGCCCGGGGCTAGTGCCCAGCTTAAATGCATTGCCCAGGGTGGACACGGGTGAGGCCGAAGCCCAGCACTCAACCGGGTCTGGGAAAGGGGGTCCTGCTCTCAGAGCCTCTCCTGCCCCTCCGGCTCCCTGCACCCGCCCTTCACTCTGGGTGTGGTAACTCCAGGAGGCTGAGTCAGACTTTCCACACCTGGAACAAGCGCGTCTGACAGGGCTGTCCTGAGGGACGGGGCCACAGCATGCACCCCACACGCACTCGCACCTGCAGTCCCCGCACGGGTGCAACACCCTGCATCTGCTGATGAGCTTCCTTGCCCCGGCCCCTCCCTCAGGCCCCGGTGGGTTGGGGGGAACGACAGGGCAGAGGTGGCCCAATGGGCACCGTGCCTCTTTCCCGTGGGAAGGAGAGAGAAGCCCCTGGGAAGCCCCTCCCTGTGTCAGGAGCCTGGTCCTGCCTCCGGCAGGCTGTGGGGCGTCCAGGGAGTGGGACTCGTCTACCTTCACCAGCAGGTCCTTGGCCTCTTTCTCGAGCCAGCGAGGGTAGAAGGGACTGTCCATGCGGATGGAGTGGAACAGCTCCTCCTCGTCCTGCCCGTGGAACGGCGACTGGCCCATGAGCATCTCGTAGACGAGGACTCCGAACGACCACCAGTCCACGGAGTGGTTGTACTTCTGGCCCAGCAGGATCTGGGCGGGGCAGAGGCATGGTCAGTGCTGGGGCAGGCTTGTGTGGGGAGTGTGGACTGAGTGCATGAGTGTGTGAGTCTGCACGTGTGGCTGTGGGACATGTGGCTATGCATGCAGGGTTTATGTGCTGTGTGCATGTATGAATGTGTGTGATGTGTATATGTGCATGTATATGGTGTGTGCGTGCATCGGTGGTCTGTACACATATGTATGGTGTGCTCACATGTGTGTCTAAGCCTACATGTGTCCTGGTTGAGCGTGTCCTCGTGTCTGTGTATGTGATGCGTGGTGGCAGGTGTGGGTACGTCTGTCTGTATGTGGGCTGTTTACAGTGGCGGGTACAAGTATATGTGTGTCTGTGTGGGGTTCGATGGCAGGTGCGGGTGTGTCTGTGTGTGTCTGTGCGTGTCTCTTGTGTATATGGTGGTGAGTGTGTCTGTGTGTCTGTTTCTGTGTGTATCTATGTGTATCTGTGTGTGTCTGTGCAACGGATGTGGGCATGTCTCTGTGTGCCAGTGTGTCTGTGCATGTCTGTGTGTCTTTGTGTGTCTGTATATGTGTGTATGGTGGCAGATATGGGCATGTCTCTGTGTGTCTTTGTCTGCATTTGTGTGTGTCTGTGTATGTATGGTGGTGGGTGCGGATATGTCTGTGTGTATCTATAGGTGTCTGTGTGTGTGCGCGTGTGTGTGCGTGTGTACGTGTATGGTGGCAGGTGTGAGTATGTCTGTGTGTGCTGTGCGTGTCTGTGTGTATCTGTGTGTGTCTGTGTGTGTACAGTGGTAGGTGCGGGTGTGTCTCTGTGTGTCTGCGTGCCTGTGTGTGTCTGTGCATGTCTGTGTGTCTGTTGTGTCTGTGAGTGTCTGCGCATGTCTGTGTATCTGTTGTGTCTGTGCATGTCTGTGCGTGTCTGTGTGTCTGTGTGTGTCTGTGTGTGTGTATGGTGGTGGGTGTGGATACGTTTTTGTATGTGTCTGTGTGTGCACGTGTATATGTATGGTGGCGGTTGTGGGTATGTCTGTGTGTGTCTGTGCATGTCTGTGTATATCTTTGTGTGTCTGTGTGTGTATGTGTGTGCGTGTATGGTGGTGGTTGTGGGTATGTATGTCTGTGTGTGTCTGTGCATGTCTGTGTATATCTTTGTGTGTCTGTGTGTGTATGTGTGTGTGTATGGTGGTGGTTGTGGGTATGTATGTGTGTGTGTCTGTGCATGTCTGTGTATATCTTTGTGTGTCTGTGTGTGTATGTGTGTGTGTATATGGTGGTGGTTGTGGATATGTATGTGTGTGTGTGTGTCTGTGCATGTCTGTGTGTGTGGTGGCAGGTGTGGGTATGTCTGTGTGAGTCTGTGTGTCTGTGCCTGTCTGTGTGTCTGTGTGGGGTACGGTGGCAGGTGCGGGGGCTCTGGGATGGGACATGGCAGGATCCAGCTTGGCCCCCCCTAGCTTGGAGGCAGCCGAAAGGGTCTCTAATGTAGACTGGGGGACGAGGAGGGGTGGGAAGGGGGCGGTGCCCATCACAGGATAGCCCTGAGGGCTGTGCCCTCATTCTGCTGGTCAGGGCCCTGTGGCCTGCAGCAGTGGGGTGGGGCGGGGGTCCTTCCTGGCTGCAGGGGGCGCCGAGGCGGCTGGGGCCTGGCGAGAGCAGGGCAGCACCTCGGGGGCAATGTAGTCAGGCGTCCCGCAGAAGGTGCTGGTCTTGGCGCCACCACCCATGTTCTCCTTGCACATGCCGAAGTCGGCGATCTTGATGTGGCCGTCCTGGTCCAGGAGGATGTTGTCCAGCTTCAGGTCCCTGCGGGACACAGCTGCTCGGGGGCTGCTGCTGCAACCCCACCCAGCCCAGCAGCCCTGGGGCTCACTCGCTGCTCGATGGGCCTGGGGAAGGGCCGAGACCCCTGGGGCTACTGACTCGCAGCAGACCCCGTCACAGTGCCAAGGGGTGGCCCTGGGTCTGAGCTCGGGGACCCTCCTGGCGGCATCCTCAGGCGGAAGTGACCCTGAGGAGGAGCCTGTGGCCGGCCTGCATGGGTAGGCGTGTCCTCCCTGCTCATGGGGTGTCCCCTCTGCTCCCGCAGGACCCCAGCTCCTCAGCAGGTGTGGGGGCATGTGCCCACCTAGAGGCTGGCTCTCGGCCGCCCCCAGGCATCTCGGGGGCTTTGCTGGCCTCATCTCTAAGCACCTCTTGGTTATTTGTCCCCACTGCCCACCACCATCATCCAGGAGTGGGGGCTTCTCAAGAGTGGGGGCAAGTGTGGACCCTGTGTGCAGAGAGAGCCAGGATGGCGGCCACCAGAGATGGGAGGGAGGGCAGCGGGCTGGGGGGGGGGGGGTCTGGGAGGAAGGTGCAGGGCAGAACTTCTGGGCTCTGAAGGCTGGCCCCTGAGACACCCAGGCAGGACAGGAGGTATCGAGAGCACATGGAAGGACACAGTGGGGGAGGAGGAGGAGGAGGAGGAGGAGGAGGAGGAGGAGGAGGAGGAGGAGGAAGAGGAGGAGGAGGAGGAGGAGGAAGAGGAGGAGGAGGAGGAGGAAGAAGAGGAGGAGGAGGAGGAGGAAGAAGAGGGGAAAGAGGAGGGGGAGATGGGGGGAAGAGGGGCAGGCGGAGGAGGAGGAAAAAGGGAGGAGGGGGAGGAGAAAGGGAGGAGAAAGAGGAGGGGGAGGAGGAAGGGGAGGAGAGGAACAAAGAGGGAGAGGAAGGGCTGAGAGGAGCGGAGGAAGCTCGGTGCTTCCCCTCCGGTGCCCCCAGCAGAGCCCGCTCTTCCCCCCTTGGGTCCCGCGCTGGCCGGCACGTGACTCACCTGTACACGATGCCCTTTGAGTGCAGGAACTGCAGCCCCAGAATGATCTCAGCAGCGTAGAACCTGCAGGCACGGTGGGGTCAGGGGCGGCCGCAGTCATACGTGCCCACCTGCACGTACTGCACACACTGACCCAAGCATGCACACGTGAGCAGCTGTGCTCATGCAACAGGGAGGAGAGAAGCTGCCGGAAGAGCTTGCTGGGGGCGCCCTGGGCCGTTATGTCCAGTGTCTGTGTGCATGTAGGGGAGCCCTGGCCAGCGCCTGGCCCCAGGGGATGGGGAGTCCCTGAACCGGGAGCGCTCCAGGGCCTGGCTGTGCTGCCACGGAGCCACTGCGTTTTCTGAGACAGGACTCGGGGGCGGCGGGCATGGGGGGGGGGGGGCTCAGGGCACTTCGTGAGGGAGCTCGTTCACTGTCCTGGCAGGGCTGGTGCCCCTGTACTCAGGGGACCGAGGGGCAGCTGCCCGGGGATGGGCGGTGGGCTCTCACGTGGCTCTGGAGAGGTCGAACTTGTGGCAGGCCTGGATGTGGAACATGAGGTCCCCGCCGTTGAGGTACTCCATGACAAAGAAGAGGTTTTCCTGCGACAGCGGGATGGGCCGTGAGCACCGCCACACCCCACACTCCGTGGACCGAGTGCCAGAAATGGAGGGTGGGGGGTGTGCTAGGAGGGGCTCTCCCTCTCTGGCTTCTGGAAGCTCCTGATGCCTCCACCCCGCTCTGCCTGCAGACAGAGACCAAGGCCCGAGCTGGGACCTCTCGGGGGTCTCTCATAGGGCCCCGGAGTGGGCTTTGCACCCATTTGGGGCAGATGCGAAGTTTGTCCTTGGGACGCTGCCGACTCCCTCCCCTGGAGTACAGGAGGGTGCATGGGCCCCCCAGGCTTCATCCTCCTGGGCTCTGTCATCTCAGGCATGTTTGAGCTGCCGGAGTGCTGGGGCAGGGCTGGGGAGCGTGGGGGGTGGTACGGGGGGGTCTCTGCCACCTGGAAAGCAGCTCGCACTGCAGTTTGCTCCAGGGGCTCAGACGGGCACATCATTCTGTCAGGCAGAAGTGGGCCGCCCTCTGGACAGTCTCCCCGTTTGCATCTGATCTCTTACCCCCCAGAACCTGGGGTCAGCTGGGAGCTGGGAAGGGTGGTGAGGAGGGAGGAGGTGGACAAGGGGCAGAGAAGCTGCCCACCAGGACAGGAACTGTGGGCACAGGGCCCCGTGCCTCCCCGAGGGGGCGCCACCTTGCTGACCTTGGTCTGGAAGGTGCAGAACATGTGCGTGAGGAAGGGGTGCTCCCAGGCCAGCGCCAGCACCCTCCGCTCCACCAGGGTGCACTCCACGTCGTCGTCCATGAGCACCACGTCCTTCTTCAGTGCCTTGATGGCGAAGAACTGGTTGGTCTTCTTGTACTCGGCCAGGAAGACCTGGAGGGGAGGGGAGGGAATGACTGTGGAGTTGGAGGGGGCCGGGATGTGGGGGGGAATGGCAGGCCCCCAGCCCCCGCAGACACAGCTGAGCCCAACCCCACCTGGCACTTGCTCCCTGCACCTTCCACTGTGCAGCCCTGTGTGGCAGGGTGGGGAGGTTTTCTCCATTCCTGAACCCCTCCCCCCACCCCCCCATGGACCCAGGGAGCCTACTACTGTCCCCCAGGGAGCCTTTTGGACTGTGGGCTGACTGTGGGAGAGGCTGGTACCCGGAACACCCCTGATAACAGGCAGTGACCTTGGCTCTAGGCTGTACTGGGTTCTTTGGGACAGAAAGAAATACGGGAGGTGCTGTGGTCTCAGAGCCCCCGGCCACACTCCACGTCTCCCTGACCCGATGCACATGATTTTGCTGTGTTCTTTGCGGTTATAATCTGGTCCTCCCTCTGATCCTGAGCTCCAAGTCCCCAACAAGATAGGCAGGACCCCCAAAAGCTGCACCTGCGTGCATTGAGTGTTGGCTGAAGTGACACCTTCAGACCCACAGCATGAAGCACGGGTGTCTCTGTGACTTGGCCACTCCCACCTAGGGCTCACACACGTGCCACGGGCCGACCCTCACCTTAAGACATTCCCTTTGGCAAATGGTGTGAGGGGTGGAGAGCAGAGGGCCCCTGGGGTTTTCTGAAACTTGGGGGTATTGGTCAAATAAGGCTTGGAGATTTGGCTTCTCATTACCCTTGTTCAAATGAGGCCACCCACAGGGAAGAAAGCAAGATGAATATTCCATAATCAATAAATACTCTCTATTTGGGTAATGGCCTTTTCTAATAAAACACAGCCGTGCCAGCCATAAGCTAAATCGCGGCAAAGGCCATCTTCACGGCTGTAATGTGCTTTCAATTGCTTGGCAGTGGGTTGTAATCGCGCGCCGATGGGTGCTAAATCCTGAACACTGGCTGTAAGGTTGCCCTGACACTGCTGTGCTTCCTCTGGGCAAACACACACACGTCTGCCAAAGCCAGTGCTGGGTTTAGAGCCAGCTCCAGGGGAAGCCAGTGTCCTTCAGCTGCAGCCGAGCCCAGGTGCATTTTTGCCAGAAGAACTGGGTGCGGTTTCGAGCCAGAGTGTGGGGGAGGGCGGCCCTGGCTTCCCAGGCCCACGCTGTGGAGCAGGGCTGAAACTTAGGGGGCAGCTGGACATGCCAGATCCCTGGGCATCCTTCTGTATCTGCCGCAGCTGCCACTCCACCAGCAACCATGTAGGGCTGGTTCTAGATTCTCCCTTCTCTCCCGTGGTGGGGCCGGCAGACACAGTTTAGGACCCAGGGCAGGGCAGGAGAGGTTCCCAGGAGGGGTAGCTGAGAAAGACTGGACCCAGATGCTAGGCTGGGCCCTGGGTAGGGATGATCTGAGACCCCCCCAACCCCGATGCAGCCTGGCAGCTGTGCTCATAGGAGAGCACGCGGGCCAGAGGGAAGACAGGCTTGTCTGAGCACCAGAAACAAGCACCCAGAGATGCCCAGCAGAAAGTGACCACTTAGAAAGCCCTGTTGAAAGGCTATCCGCTAGAAAACTACAAGGTCCAGGGGGCCTTGCAGCTTCCACCGGAAGTAGGCGGTGCAAGGAACAGTCTAGCCAATGAGAGGAGGCTAGAGACCAGCCAATGAGGATCCACCATACATCTAAGTCCTGAGTTTCCACCAATAAGCTCTGCGCTCTCAACAGCGCCTCTAATACCAGCTATATAAAAGGGTGCAGGTGTGCCCCAAGGGTCCGGCGCTGCGGCTCCTGGGATCCTGTCTGTGATGTGGGAATTAGTAGTAGCTGCTTTTGATGTGAGGCCAGCAGCCCTGGGACCCAACTCACAGCTTCTGGGCCGGGAGGACTCGATTGGGGTCTGGTTGCTGCAGGTCTAGTCACAACAGGGCTGGGATGGGAAAGTCAGATGGGAAAGGTCAGCCCCGAGCAAAGGCCCCGGGTCAGAGTCTGCCCCGTGCGAAGGACCCTGCACCCGGGTCTGAGCCTGCCCCAGGGGACCCATACTGCAAAGGAGCCGCACCTAGGGAGTGCCCTGGCAGACCCGAAGGCGCTATGGGGGGACAAGGTGGTTCCTCACGGCCACGTCCAGGACCCTGACTGCTTGGTGCGGTTGTGCTCCCTGAAGCCCCACACTTACTGCCAGGCTAGATGTGCCCTCCCCCATACCTTGCCAAAGCTGCCTTTGCCCAGCAGTTTGTGCAGGATGAAGTCCTCGATACCGGGCTTCGCGTGAGGGGGTGGCCTGTCCGGGGTCAGGTCGGGCTGCGGTGGGTGGCTTGGGGTCTCCACCCTGTCCGGAGGGGTCTCCCAGGAGATGCCCTGCGGCTCTGGAGGGGGCAGGCCAGCGCTGAAGTGCCTTCTAACTGCTCCAGAATGTGCCGCGCCCCCCCTCCCTGCGCAGTTGGGGTGCTCTGTCCCTCCCACCGTGCAGACGGGGGAGCGTCCAATGCAGAACCCCAGTCAGGCACATACTCGCATCCTGTCCTGAACAACCTCGAGGCGGGGCCCAGGCCCCTCCCCCAACCCCTGTGATGCTGGTCCTGCTCTTTCCCCCACTGACCTGACAAATCTGAGGGAACCACAGCTGGTCACTGCAGGCCTCTTCCGTCTGCCCCCTGCCCCTCCAGCAGGGCTGGGGGGGGGGGGGCAGAGACCAGGTGCCCCAGGGGCACAGAGAGCAGGCGGCGGAGGATGGGGCTGGGCATTGCCCTTGCTGGACACATACCTCGTTTCCCTGACGCTGGAGCCAAGGGCGGCCTGGCATCCCCCTTCCCAGGGCAGGGGGGCCCGATCTCCACAGGCCCCTCCCGGAGGACGTGCTCCGTGTCCCGTAAGCAGCGTGCCTGGAGCCAGACCCAGAGTGAGGCCAGCCCTGGGCCACCCTGGAGTCAGCTTCTCATTCCACGTCCCGAGGCTTTCAGGGGCCTTCCCGGTCATCGCAACCCAAGCAGGAGGCCCCGTGTGTGTGTGTGTGTGTGTGTGTGTGTGTGTGTGTGTGTGTGTGTGTGTGTGTGGAGGGAGCCCGGGGCATGGCCCCGCCAGGCCTGCAGGGCCCCTGAGGGGGAACCCGGCAATGCATGGGGCAGTAGGGAGGGGCCCACGCCCTGCCCGCGCCTACCTGTTGGGCGCTCTCGATCATGGCCAGCGCCTCGGCCATGAGCTTCTGGTTGATGCCGCACAGGTTGGCCACCTTGTTGTGGCACTTGTGGTGCACGTTCATCCCGCATGCTGGAAGGCAGAGCACTGAGCCACGCAGCACCCCGCCCCCTCCGACACATGTGTCCCTGCCCCGTGGAAGCTGGGGGGAGGGTAGCCGAGTGTCTGTGGAGGCCTGGCGGGCCATGATGGAACTGAAGGAAAAGTAACCCCATGTGCCTCCTGGCCATAGTCACTGCCTTTCCAGGGGTGTGGTGAGGGGACGGCCCCCTCCAGTCCTGGGGGCACAGGGCCACCAGGCAGGGACTCAGACGTGTGCCTGTGCCGCTCGGATACCCCCTGGCCATGAGTCCACTCTGATGTTTCAGAAGGGATGGCCAGCAGGTCCCACTGGGCGTGTCTGTGGGAGGAGGTCAGCGGGGGTGGCACTGACCTAGCAGGTGTTGGTTGGCTCTCTGTGGATAGGGGAGGTGCCCTTTGGTGACTATTTTCATAGGTACTGGGGGACAAGGAGGGGGAAGGGGAGGCCCTGCTTAGGAGAGAGTGGGGGGCAGAGGGAGGGGAAGGGGTGATGGGGCTTGTGGCATGGGGAGGCAGGAGGGGGTAGAGGTGGGGGAGGGGAGGGAAGGAGGGAGGAGGGGAGGAGGGAAGAGGAAGGAGGGGAGAAGGGGGTAGGGGAGGAGGGAGCAGGAAGGAGGGAGGGGGTGGGGCAGGGGGAGCCCCTGGGAGTGGGAGGGGGTGGGGGCTGGAATGGGGAGGGAGGCCCAGAGAGGAGGGCCAGGGGCAGGTGTGGTGGGACAATGGCCGGAATGCCCCCGTGTTCTAGGCCCCCACCAGCCCGGCTGCGGGGGGCTCTGGGCACCTCGGGCCTGACCTGACGGCCCTGTGACGTCCCAGCTGGGTGCAGTAACCAAGACTGCCTATGGGAGGGGCCGGCGGGGGTGTCTGTGGTGGGGGTTGCAGGAGGGGTCTCTGTGAAGGGGGGTGTGGGGAGGGGTCTGCGGTGGGGTCTGGTGGGATCTGCAGGGAGGGGTGTCTCTGCGGAAGGGGGGCCTGTGGGAGGGTGTCTGGGAGGGTCTGCAGTGGGCTGTGGCCCAGAGCCGCTGCCTCCTTGGCAACTGCTCCAAGACGAGATGCGGGGACAGGGATGGTTCCCGCCTCCTTCCCCCTCCGAGCAGCCGCATCAGGGGCCCAGGGGGGGGGGGGGGCACGGCAGGGGGGCACTCACCATCACACTTGAGGCCCTGCCGCGCCAGCCCCCACAGCAGCGTCCCACAGTGCTCGCAGAAGGTGGGGCTGCGGAAGGTGCACACCTTGAAGCGGTGCGGCACGTCGATCTTGAAGCGCTCCTTGTGGAACTGCAGGGACAGTAGCTGCTCAGCTGCGGCTCTGGGGCCGCCGAGGGCCCACGAGACAGTGTTCCCGCTCCCTAACCTGACGTTTCCCTTTGCCGGGCCTTAAGCAGATTTCCATCAGGCTTCGCTGCTGAGCGCCCATGGGTGGGGGTGGGGTGGAGACCCTCCTTCCCTCCCTTCTGCTTGTGACCTCCTGCCAGGGTCATGGCACACCCGTGACCCCCAACACAGCTCCTCTCTGCACACAGCCCCGCTGGAGAGCTGAGAAAGCACAGAGAGGGTGAGACACTAGTGCAGGTCACACAGCTCTGAGCCGGATGAGATCTGGGATCCAGAGCCGGCTCAGATCAGAAACTGATTCAGGGAAGGGAGAAGCTGTGGCAGGGGGCTCTCCTTCAACGCTAGGGTACCAACTGCCCCTGTTGGTCTCGTAAGTCTAAATTTCCCGGGGGGCGGAGGGGGGGAGGCGGGGCTGGAGCAATAGCACAGCGGGTAGGGCATTTGCCTTGCACGCAGCTGACCCAGGTTCGATTCCCAGCATCCCATATGGTGCCCAAGCACCGCCAGGAGTAATTCCTGAGTGCAGAGCCAGGAGTAACCCCTGTGCATCACTGGGTGTGACCCAAAAAGAAAAAAAAAATTCTCCAGGGCCTTGGAGCAGGGGTGGAGCAGGGTCCTGGGGCAGAGTTGCTCAGAAGCTGCCGCACCCCCACCCGGAGGAGACTCACTCTCAGGGCTCACGTCCAGAATCGTCCTGTGCAGGGGCCCCAGGGTCAGCACAGACCACCCTGGGGCCACGGGAGCAGGGGCCCAGGGACAGCACAGACCATTCAGCAGACGGTTGCCCTTTCTGCCCAGGCTTCAGCATCACCAGAGGGCATGCGGTGGGGGCGAGGGTGAGGCTGTCTGTCTGCGTCCGTCTGTCCACGTACCATGGTCTCCCGGCTGTTGACGGCGGACCCCGTGCACTTGGCGATCACTTTGTCAAGGCACTTCTTGTGGATGGCGGCGTTGCACTCTGCGAGGGAACACGGCAGCTGGGGGCGGGGTGGGGGGAGGGGCCCAGGGGTGGGTCCCAAGTCCCACGCACCCGGTACTTACGTCGGCACTGGTAGCCCTGCTTGTTGAGGCCCCTGCAAGAGAGCACATGGCCGCGCAGTCACCAGAGGCTCTGTCCTGGGGGTGAGACCGTCCACTAACCCCCTGCTGCCTGCCCCGCACGCCGACTGGGCATTCCTGTCCTCCTCTCCCTTCTGAGAGTGCCTCCTGGGCCCGTGTCCCCACCTGTGTCCCTGGACAGGGGGCCGGGGCTGGACACACTGCCTGGTGAGAGCTGGTCACCGACTTCTCAGCCTAACGGGCTGAGGGACAGGAGCTGCTGTGCAGGAAGGAAGGACAGGGCACGGGCACAGGGGGACACACCCCAGCCTGGACCCTTGGACCCTCTAGGCTGGGGTGTGCCTGGGAAGATCCTGCAGGGACCCCTGGGAGGCAGCCTGTGGAGAGGCTGGAACACAGGACACACGGTGTGTGCACACGCATACATGTGTGGGCACACATGTGTACATGGGCTTGGGTGTGTACATGGGCATGTATGTGCATGTGTGCGAGTGTGCGTGTGTGTGCACATGGGCAGGCAGGTATGTATGTGTGTGCGGGCATGATGGTACTTGTGTGTGCTCTGTGCAGTGGGCAGAGCCAGCCGTGTCTTGCTGTGTCCAGCTCTTGGCAGCGGTCCTTCCCTGACTGGTTTCTGTAAATGTTCACCCTTCGACTTTCTCGGCCCAGGGGGCATGCACGCACATGCACACACCAGCCCACGCACCAGACAAACTCGTGGCAGACGGAGCAGAAGGTGGGCTGCGGGAAGAAGGTGGCCGTGAACTCGTGGCCCTTGACGTGGTGCACCCGGGCCTGCTTCATGGCGCCTCGGCGGTGATGCAGAGCGAAGAAGCCCTCGCTCTCGGACTCGCCCTGCTCCTTGGTGTCTGCGGGGGAGGGGGAGCAGGGTGTGAGGACACAGTGGGACATGTGCTGCTCCCGGGTGCAGCCAGCCGGACAGGCAGCAGCTGAGGCCTTCCTGTGTGTGGGAGCACGTGGCTGCTGATGGCTGGGCCAGCGCATGTTTCCAGCATCCCCAGGGCTTGTGTCCCGGCCCTGGGCCTCACCAGGCAGGACTCCCCGGGGGCCAGTCCCTATGGAGGCTGCAGAGATCCAAGACACTGAGTGAAGGACCCGCCATGCCTGCAGAAATGCCCCGGGAAGCCACAGCTGGCTCTCAGGCCCCAGAGTGTGTGGGGGGCCTCAGTGGCATGGCTACGCAGCACAGCAGGAGGGCCACAGCCCACCTGGTGCTTCGGGAATGGCTATTTTGGGTGTTGTTTTGGGGTGTCACATATGGCAGGGACTTGTGGAACCCTGTGTGATAACGGGACAAACCTGGGTCAGTGTGTGCGAGGGAGGGCCCCCTCTGGGTGTGTGCGTGTGTGTGCATGTGTGTGTGCGCGTGTGTGTCTGTGTGTGCATACGTGTGTGTGCATGTGCACATGTGTGCATACATGTGTCTGTGTGTGCACATGTGTGTGCACGTGTGCACATGTTGTGTGTGCGTGTGCATTTGTGTGTGCATGTGTATCTGTGTGTGCGTAAGTGTGTGCGTATGCATGTGTGTCTGTGTGTGCATGTGTATCTGTGTGTGTGTCCATGTGTCTGTGCGTGTATTATGTATCTGTGTATGCATGTGTGTGCCAGTGTATCTGTGCATGTGTATGTGTATCTGTGTGCGTGTATGTGTGTGTTCATGCGTGTCTGTGCGTGCATATCTGTGCACATGTGTGCATGTGTGTGCGTGTGCATGTTATGCATGTATGTGCATCCGCGTGTGTGCGTATGAATGTGTCTGTGTGTGCATCTGCATCTGTATGCCCATGTGTATCTGTGTGTGCATGTGTGTGACTGTGTGTGCATGTGCATGTGTATCTGTGTGCGTGCATGTGTGTATGCGTGTGTGTGCATGTGTATGTCTGCATATGCATGTGTGTCTGTGTGCATGTGTGTGCGTGCAAGTGTGTGTCCATGTGTCTGTGTGTGCGTATGTGTGCATATGCTTGTGTGCGTGTGTGTGCGTGTGTGTGTGTGCATGTGTGAGGACAGAGGAAGAGAGGAGGAAAGGCTCGTGTGCCCTGGCGAGAGTGAGGCATCAGGAGCCTTGAGACACAGCCCCACCCCCTGGGTGGGTGGCTACGGGGTCTCTGGGCCGTGTGGCTAAGACATACGGACCCCACCGGGCACCTGTGGGTTTGGACAGCTGGGGCTGGTCCCCCGGCCCTTGGGGAGGGGCCTTGGGGGCTTTGGGAGCGCAGGCCGGCCAGGGTGTCACCCCCAATGCCCCCACGCTGACCGCCGCCTGGCCGGCCTTATCCTCCCGGCCAGCGGCACTTTCCTTCCCTCCCACCGCCATATCTGAGACGGCTGCCCACAGCCTGGACACCAGGGCCCTCCCTCCGGCCCTGCCCCCATCCCCTCCTTGCTTCCTTGGGAATTTCTTCTTTCCGTTACTCTGACAACTAGGCAGAAAGCAGAGCAGAGAGCCGGCCAGTCCCCACGGCTAATCCCCCAGCTCCAGCCACTCCTGGGAGCCCCGACCCCCTCACTGCGGGACTGAGGCAAATCCCCGGCGTCACGTCACCTCACCCATATTCAGAGGGCATCTGGGAAGCCTTTGGGTTTTGTTGTTTATTCTGACTCGTTGATGCTCTGGGCACCCTTGGGGTGCACAGGCCTGTCCTTTGGAGTCACACATCAAGTCTCCTCCAGCAGGGGTCTGACCCACTCTGTGCGTGTTCTCATCCCCTGGCAGCTATGGGAGATCCCAGCCCCAAAGCACCATGACCCCTGGAGCTGGTCCCTGGGAGCAAGGCAGGGGCAGAGGTCGCCCTCCCTGTGACAGACGTTCTCTGAGGCTGGGGAAGCGAAAGCAGTGGCCTCCACCTCCACGCACTCACCTTCATCCACAACCGCCTGTGGTGGAGGAGTGGATGGAAAGATGGACAGACAGACAGGTGGAGGGGAGGCCGGGCTGCCAGAGGCACGACGTGGCCTGTGCGTGTGCAAGTGTGCATGTAAGCTGAGCCCCACGTCTGCCGAGCCCCTGGTGCCCAAGTCTGTGGCTCTGTCTGTCGTGGCCAATGTCCGTCCCGCTCTCACACAGCCAGGAGGGGGCGCAACACCCCTAGCTCGGGCAGGCGCCAGGTGGGGGACCGCTCTTCAGAGATCAGGCAGGCCAGGACGGGGGGGGGGGGGGGGGGACGCGACACCCCCGACAGCCCCCACCGGGACGAAGAAAGATGCTCACACTCACCGCTCATTTCCAGGAAGTACCTCGCATTCATCAGAACCCGGCCCTGAGGTCTCAGCTCCAGCTGGAGGGAGGAGGGGGAGAAACAGCATCGGCAAAGGGCCCCCGCTGGGCTGCGGGAATGTCCGGATACACCTGAGCTGAAAACACCTGAGGAGTGAGTGGAGGCAGCTGACGCCTCAGTGCAGACTGGGTCGGGGGGTGGAGCTGCCAAGCCGGCAAAGAAGGGCGACATCGCACGGCCTAGGTGGCCTGCTTCCTCGGTTTTGATTTGGGGGCCACGTCCAGCAGTGCGCAGGGGTCAATCCCGGCGGGGTCCCCACCCACGGCCGGGCCACCTTTCCCGCTCGCTGCACACCTACCCAGATCTCCGTCTTGCCGTTGCTCTTGCGGCACCTGTCGGCCAGTGCGGTCAGCTCCACGGTGGTCTCGGAGATGGCGTCCACATTCCGGTCCTTCACGACGATCTGCATGACGCGGCCCTTGGTGATGTGCGCATCGAAGGTGCTGTCCCAAGGCGGGTACATGGTGGGCTTCTTCTGCACATACAGCTGCCCGCCCTCTGGCCACACAGAGATAGGGTCGGCTGTTACTCCAGCCCCTGTGCTCCCAGCTACCACACACCTGCCCAGGGGAGCCGGCCCCCAGCCCCCTCACCCACACACTCCCCGGCCTGGCCTGGGGAGGGTCGAGTCTGCACCTGGTACCTGAGTGCAGGAGGGTGATGCAGACCCTGCCTTGATCCCCACTGCTGTGCCGGGGTGGGGGGTCCATCTGTCCGTCTGTGATGACGCCCAGTGCACTGAGCAAGGGAGAGGCCCCCAAAATGCATGCACATCCCATGCAGGGTGGTTGTGGGAAGGGGCAGGCTTCTTGGGAGTCACCCCTGAAGAGGGTGATGAGGGGCTGGCAGGCATCAGTGTGTCACCCATACCTCACTGTTCCTTCTCTGCTCCCAGTGCAGGAGGGAGGGTCTGGCCACCTACAGTGGCACCTGGACCCACAAAGGGGGTGCCTGAACCAGGAACAGAGGTGCAGGGGGGTGCAGGGGAGGAAGATGGGCAGGGGCATCCAGAACCCGGCCAGGCTGGCGGTGTGAAGGGAACAGCTTCCCTTCCAGCTCGGAGCCTCCCAAACTGGGAGAGAAATCGGTTCATGGGATAACCAAGTCCTACCCCCTCTCTGGACCTGCGGGCCCTGCCTTTAATACCCGACTGCGTCTGCCCCCACCCCCACCCCCAGGCCTGCGGGTCCTGCCTTTGATGCCTGCCTGCGGCACTGCCGTGCGTGTTCCTCGCCATCTGCTGGCTTCATTAGAGGCCTCTGCCTTGTCAGAAGGTGCCCAGCTACAGTGGTATACGACAGCTTGGCTTTCTTGTTGGTACAGTCCGTTTAAGGGATATCTAAATGCAAGTCACCAGTGGTATGCGCTGTCCCTGGGTCATCCAAGCGTGAGCCACTGTGCTCCATACCATCCGTGGATCATCCACGTGTGTCACAGGGGGTACATGCTATTTGTGGATCACCCATGTGTGTCACAGGGAGTACAAGACATCCGTGGAACATCCACTTGTCACAGGGGGTATGCGCCATCCGTGGATCGTTCACATGTGTCATAGGGGATAAACGCCATGGAATATCCAAGTGTCACAGAGGGTATGCACCAGCCGTGGAATATCCACATGTATCACAGGGGTACACGCCATCCGTGAAACATCTGGGTGTGCCACAGGATCAACGCCATCAGGGGATCATGCACGTGTGTCACAGGGCTCCTGCCCTCTCGGGAACACCCAGTTCAGCCACCAGTGGCCCGTGCCAGTGTCAGATATGACTCCACTTGTGCTGACGTGCCATGGGCTTCCAGCGGCTCAGGCAGCCTGGGAGGGGCCAGGGCTGGGGCGAGCTGAGGTGCAGTTTTGGGGCCCAGCTGGGAGCTCACCGTGGTGTCAGCTGCCAGGAGGTTGTAAATGCAGGACCCTGTCCCCTCTGTGGGCCCCCGAAGCTGTGACTGGCACCTGTCAGCCCACCCCGTGGTGCTGCCCCCACCCCGCAGGAGCAGTCGCACACCCCAAGCCCTGGAACAGTTAGGTTGGGGCCCAGGCTGGCCCAGGCCCGGCCCCCGCCACAGTGGGGGACACCTCCTGGAAACACAAAACCTGGTCTTGATAACAAGGTCCTTGTTAGCCAACTTCAAAGCCATCTCTCCAGCGGGGGAGAGGGGTGGTGGGAGGTGGGGGGGCAGGTTGCAGCCCCCTGAGCATGGCGCTTCAAAGGCTGGCTAGCATTTCCGGGTCTCAGTGGGCCAGGAGAAACGGGCACAAGCAGAGCAGAAGCTGGTGGGCCTGCAACCAGCGAGAGCCGTGTGGACTCGGCCTCTGCCACTCGCTAGTGCATCCAGGGGCCTCTTCCCGGTGGGCGGAGGGAGGCCTGGAGTCCTCCTGGCGATTCTCAGTCACCCGAGCCTATGATGTTTCACTGTGAGGGTCCAGGGTGGTACTGGGGCATCCCTGCTGCCCTGTCACTCTGTCCAGGGAGTGTGATACTCGGTCTCTGACCCTGCCTGCAGTGGCCCCGATGAGTGACTCTGACCTCGCCGGGGTGCCCCGATGGCAGGTGGATGTGGCCCTCAGACAAAATAATAGTGACACAGGGACCAGGCCCAGGATGTAGGGAGGCCAGCAAAAAAAAAAAAAAAAACCTTTTTTTTTTAGGATATGTAATAATAACTTACCAGCACAGAGCTCCCCCCACATTCCCATTTGCTGACAATTCATTCTGTGCAGAGTTTGAATGCCTGTCGATGGCACATTTGTTTCCCCCTCCCCTGCTTGTCACTATCCTTCTGTGGTGGGCACCTGCCCCTGCCCACCAGGGCCCACACACGCGCTTCCCAGAGGCCTCACCTCCGGGCCACACATGGAGCGGTCAGGTCCCAGCCGGTAGACAGTGGAACTGCCAGGCTCTCAGTCAGCCCCCACTCCAGGGAACCAGGGCTCAAACTCGTGACCAGTCCCGCACAGCAGAGGAGTCTTTGTTGTTGTCCTTTTGGGGACACACCCAGCAACGCTCAGGGGTAACCCCTGGTGGGCTCAGGGGACCATACAGGATGCCAAGGATTGAATCCGGCTGGCGACACAGACGGCAAGTACCCCACGCACTATACTATATCACCCAGCCCTGCCCAGCAGAAAGGCCCCCTGGCGTCCATGCCCATGCCCCCTCACTGTGCCCCCTCACCTACCCTCCGCCAGCTGGGAGGAAGCCCGGTGACCCTCCCTCAGCAGACTCTGTCCCCGCACCCGGAGACGTTCTCTATCATGTAGGTCTATCCCCGAGACAGTTGTCTCGCCCACAGCCCCTTGCCCCTGTGGGAGCCCCAGAGCACAGCTGTGAGGCCCTGCCATGCCCACTCACCTGACTCCACGCATTCCTTCACCAGCACGGCGCAGTACGGGCTCGCCGCCTCGCCCTGGCCTGGAGGCCAGGCCCCGCAGTCAAAGTTGGACAAGCCGATGCGGAGGAACGGGGACATGGCTGCTCCCTGCCGGGTGACAGAAGACGAAGGCGGTGACTCCTGGTGTCCCCTGGCCCCTCAGCACGGCTTATCGCCCCCGCCAGAGCTGCTGCAGGTCAGCCCTCAGAACACTCTTCCTTCCCCTTGGCTGCCCCGGAGTCTCCCCACAGCACCCCAGCCCGGGAGCAGCCGACGTGTCCAGCCCCGTCTGCTCCTCCTCGAGTGGACAATAAGGAAACGGGTTGGTGAGGACGAAGTCTATTTTGGTTACAGCCGTTAACATGACACCGCAAGACCCTTCCAGGCTATTTATGAGCGTGCGGGTACTGGGCAGTCGGCAGCTGGCCGCTGTGGTTCGGACGTTTGCGGAAAGTGTGCTTTCTTCACGAACTCGAACAGGGACACATACACGGTGAGAGCACCTCCCATGTGCGTGTGCCTGGGTCAGATAATGACCCTCTCATAGAAGCCTCCAGACCAGCCCCCAGTTCTGCCCTTGCCGGGATAAAGGCTTCTCAGAAGCCCCCACGCTGACCACTCCGCTTCCCTCACCCGAGCCGGGACCATCGCAGCCCCAGGAGTCGGGCTGAGTGTGAGTGAGTCCGTGTGTCTTGTGCCTCTGTGTGTGAACCCTCATGTGTCTCTGTATCTGTGTGGATAAGTGGATATGGCTTGTGTGAGTGTGTGCGGATCTGCGGGAGTCTGTGAATCTTGTGTGCATAAATCTGTGTGAATTCCTGTGAATCTTGTGTGTGTGTGTGTGAATACATGAGCATGTGTGAATCAAAAGGTGTCTATGAATCTTGTGTGTATGTGAATATGTGAGCATGTGTGAATTTTGTGTGGGTGAGTATGAAGTGGTGTGTGTGACTCTCCTCTGTCTTGTGCATGGGTATGAATCTTTGTGGCTCTTATGTGAGTGTATGAATCTTGTGTGAGTGTGTCAGTCTGTGAGTGTGACACTCCTGTGTCTTACGTGAATGTGTCTGGTGTAAATCTTTTTTGAGTGTGTGAATCTGTGTATGGGTACTTTTGTCTGTTGCCGAGTCTTGCAGGAGCATTGTGTATCTTCGGTATTAGCCCTTTATCTGATGGTGGCTCATGAATGTTCTCTCGTTTGCGGTATGGTGCTGTTTTATTTTCTGAGAGTTTGGGTTGGTTTTTATTTCAAAGGTAGAAACTTTTGAATTTGATAGACAGGTTGCATTTTTCTGAGAGCAGTTATGATTCAGAGCAAAATTCTTCATCAGGTGTCTGCGCACCTCATCCCCCCAAATTGCAGTAACTCCCACGAGCAGGGTGGAAGGTCTGTCAGCACCAGTGGGCCACCAGGTGGGACACTCTGTGGGATGGACACGTGGACCCAGACCCTTGGCCCAGACAGCATGGCATGGCAGTGTCATTGCCCGCCAAGCCCCACTGCCCTGCATGCACAGACTCTAAAATACTCGAAAATACTCGAAAAAACTCTAAAATAAAACAGTGGAGCAGGAAAGGGGCAGCGGGGAATGCTGGACAGTCCACTCTGAGGTCCAGCCCACCCCAGGGTCTATCCCACCTCTGAGTTCAGCACAATTTAGGGTCCAGCCCACTCCGAAGTCCAGCCCTCTCCTGGGTCCAGCCCACCTCAAGGTCCAGCCCTCTCCTGGGTCCAGCCCACCTCAAGGTCCAGCCCTCTCCTGGGTCCAGCCCACCTCAAGGTCCAGTCCTCTCCTGGGTCCAGCCCACCTCAAGGTCCAGCCCTCTCCTGGGTCCAGCCCACCTCAAGGTCCAGCCCTCTCCTGGGTCCAGCCCACCTCAGAGTCCAGCCCTCTCCTGGGTCCAGCCCACCTCAGAGTCCAGCCCTCTCCAGGTGCACAACCTGCGCTTCCCAGGACTCGCCTGCCTGGCGGTTCCCATGGGAAAGCGCACAGAGTCACGCTCTTGCTATGTCTGCCAGGAATGCAGCACTCAGGGCTGTGAGCAGGGCACGGAGGCCACGGCCATGCTCCGGCCATGCAGCCATGCAGATCTCCAGCTGTGGGGTGGGGGAGTGTCCAGGATGGAGCCTCTGTACCCCTGTTTCCACGGGGCAGAGGTCTGGGCTGTGGGTCTCTGCAGGGCCTGGCCTGGGGAAGGACGGGACAATCCCAGGCTCTTAGGTGTGGCCTTTCCTTGACCCTTGGATCGACCCCCAGAACCCCACAAGCCTGCAGGGCCGGGGCCAGCAGAGCATGACCAAGGCACCCTTCCTTCCCTCCATCCGCCTAGCAGTGGGAGTCTGGGACCCTCCAGGCAGTGTCTAGAGTCTCGCTGCAGAGCCTGCATGTCCCTGTGCCAGCTGGGTGGTGAGGCTGCAGGGACCCCCTCATGCCTCTTCCCGACACTGATGTCACAGTGCCCGAGGCTGCATCTACAGGGACAGGGCCACTTGCCTGTGAATGAGGGGGTCACTCATGGATCTGGGGGGCAAAAGGAATTCCTCATGGACAGAGAGCCTCTGAGAGAGGGGACACGGGGGCCCATGGGAGGTGCATGAGCCCCATGGGGGACCGGCTTGGCTGTCCACACACAAAGCACCAGTTCGGGTCTGTCCTCCTGGCTGGCCCAGAGGAACAGCCAGCCCAGGGCCCAGGAGCACTGCCTCAAGCCACTGCCAGTGGGGAATGTCACAGAGCCGCCCCAGGCCAGGGGTGCATTCCAGGGCCCCCAGCTCTCTACCGGTCCCCTGCGGGGCGGGGGAGGACAGAGGGGGGCAGGTGACGAGAGCCAGCAGGCAGCTATGATGAAGAGCCCACCCCTCCCTCCTCCTCCTTGAAGGCAGAGCCTGAGACAGAGAATCCGGAGAAACCAGAAAGTCCCGGGAAGGAGCTCTGGCTGGCCAGCAGCGGGGGATGGCTGCGGCTCGCGGTCACAGGAGTCCCCCACTCAGAAAGACCCACTAGCAGCCTACCGTCACCGGCAGATGGGACAAGGCTCATCCAAATGACAATGGGGCAGGGCTGGGGGACAGGGGTGCCCAGAGGGTCCTGGCACAGCCCCACATGGTCTCCGGGCACTCGTGGGAGCAATCCCTGAGCACCGCCGGGGGTGGCCCCCAAACAGATGAAAATACCGACACAGAAACCCCAGGAGGTCTGGTCCCGGGCATAGCCCGAACACCACCCACAGAATCAAGTCCAGAGTCACAGCTCAGGCTCTTCTTCCTCGGGCCAAAGTTGGTGGGATTCATGGTGGCCGCGAGCCTTGGGATGAGGGCCCACAGCTGTGGGTCCCCCCCGATGCCAGGCGGAAGCCCAGCTTCCCGCACACGTATGAAGACGAACACACTCCCGCCCCGCAGAAGGGAGCCGCTTTCGTCAACAGGCCCTGCAGCGACCCACAACTTTCAGTTTGCAAAACCACAGCTCACCTCAAGGCAGACGTCGTGGATAGAGTCCCACGGCACGTCCAGCTGAAAGATGCCGAGTAAACAAGCCGGGCAGGAAGCGGGGGTCCCAGGCCCCCAGCCTGCACGCGGGCACCTGGCCGGGGAAGCAGCAGACATGAGCTGTAGGTGGAAGCTTCCAGGCCCTTCCGGCAGCTCCTTCAGAGCCAGACTTCATCACGGAACTGAAGGGCTCTCAGCTGGTCTGCCCTGCGCCCACAGCCCGCAGCTGCTCCCGCCTGCTGTCCGTGCTTTGAGAGGGAGATCCAGAGAGAAGGGCGCAGCTCGGTCTCCCCAGGATTTAGGCCGGGGCGTCCCTTGGAGGGCTGGACCTGTAGCTGGGGACCGCTCGGAGCCCACCAGGCTCCCCTCTTGGTGATGAGGGGCTTCGCAACCCCGAGTGCGCGCCACCTCATTCATGGCTGTGCCAGCTGTGGCAGGGACATAGCGCTCAGGGCCACTGGCCAGCCTGGCCCCCTGGGCCCTCAGCAGCCATCCGCAGTGAAGGATGGAAAGGAAGGTGGGAGTGCCTGGCCCGCTGGACCTTCTGATCCCAACACTGGTGTCTGCGGTGGGGAGGGGAGGGGCGTCTCCCACGGACACAGTCTCCTCCGGGGACTCTCCCTGCTCCGCCCCTGCCTTCCACCTCTGGGGATGCTCTCTGGGATCCACCCCTGCTTTCCACCTCTTCTCCATCTTCGCTGGTTTTTTTTTTTTTTTTGGCTCTTCTTGCCAGAAACTAAGCCATTTCTCTGCTCCTTTCTTGTAACTGCCTTTCTTCCCTTTCTCCCCAGAGAAAGTGGCTTCTCAGGTCCCACCTGTCTTGTCACCCCATCACTAGCCGATGACCGATCCTGGACTTTACTGAGGAATATTTTACAAAGAAGCTACCAGCCACCAAGGGAGCAAAGAAAGTCTCTTTACCAACTGGCGCTGGAAACCTGGGCAGCTGCCAGAAAACAAACAAACAAACCCCAAAACCAAAACACTGAGCCAACGTGGAGATGAATTCAGAACTGGATTCGGGACATGCATGTCAGACCCATGGCCATAAAATACGCAGAAGAAACACAGCCTGGAAACCAGACTCGGATATGTGTTTGGTGCTCGCGAGGGAAGGAAAGCAGGGCCAGACAGGACCGCGTGGGGCTATGGAGCCTGCAGAGCCAGGGAAACATCCACCAGTGCAGAAGGACAGCCACTGGAATGGGGGAACATTCGCAATCTCAGGCCCGACAGGGTTCCCGGGAAGCACAGAGAATGCAATGGAAAGGGCCAGGACGGGCTTCAAGGCAGAGCCTCAGCTTGGTGTGTGAGCCTGGGTCCCGGCCTTGCCTGGCACAGTCCCCCGGGGCACAGCCAGGAGAGACTCCCCAGCACAGCTGGGTGTGGCCCAAACAGAAGGTCCCAGCGGAGGCCGGGGCCCTGAGCGGACACTTGATCAGGAAGGCTGGGGACACCGCTTTTGGGGCTCACCCGGAAGCTACAGAACCACGGGCAGCCCCGCTTGGTCCCTGCAGGCCCAGAGCTGGCCACAGCCTCAGGCCCGTGGGCGGGTGATGGGCCCCAGGGAACACCCCCCTGGCTCTGCCATTTGCATCTGCCATTTGCAACCAGAGGA